CTCCATATCTCACTGTAATACATCATAAATCAAGTATTATATATCATATACACACAGTAAATCCAAGATCAAGATCTAATTTACAAACTTATTTCAACTTTAACAATAATCTTACATTATATATCATTCTTGTTATTTAATACCTCAAATACATATCAATAATCATCAATTCTTGCTGAACTTCAATTATGAGCAATTTTCCATAAACCCCAAAATTTTAGTTAGCATAACTTTTGAATATAAGAAGTAATTAAGGAATGAAAAACCCAACCTTGAACAACTGATACCTACTTCTTCTTTTTCCTCCTTTTTCTCTCCTTTCCTTCTTCCCTTTTCTTTTCTTCTCCGCTTTCGCGTTCTCTGCCTCAGCTTTCTGTTTTTTTCCCAAAAATTGAAAAAAAATGGATAATTACCATCTAAGTTAATGGATAACTATAGTATAATTTCAACTTAAGTCCCCAAGCTTCTTACAATATAACATTTAGTCCTTTCATTTCCAATAATATAAACTAAATCCCTAGATTCCTTTATACTATTTCTAGCCCTTTTAAGTATTAATAATTACAAATTAAGCCCCACGAAATCATTTATTCAACTTAAGTCCTTATTTGGTTTTGACTTTGACTAAATAATTCCTTGACTGTGATTATAAATGAATGGGGTGTAACAAAAAGTGCTCAAGAAGATTAGATTTCACTTCAAATTTGGAACATATCTCACAACATAAGTGTCCCGACAGTCCCATCAAATATTTTAATTATGACCCTTCTAATACTAGTTATCCTATAAGGTGTACTATAATCTATTACAACACCTTTGAAAATTGTTTCATATGTTGAAAATGAATCCCAATTAGGACAAATATGAAAAGTGAAAGCTGTATCAATAGTCCAATTCTCATCAGGTTTGGTGTCGTCGTTAGAAATCACCAAAAGTTCATCATCATTGTAGCTATGTTCAGTAATACTGGCTTTACCTGAAGTTTTTGATTGTTTTTCCCTCTGATTTGCAGCAACTGATTTATTCTTATTCTGCAATTTATGACAATCCTTCTTAATGTATCCCTATCTCTTGCAATAATAATAGACTTTATTACAGAAATTAGTCCTCAATCTCCCATCACATAATTGCTATCTACAACTAGGCTATCTCCATGAACCTCAGATCTAACAAGAAGCTTCATCTTCTCATTCGAAAACAGAACATTATAAACTTCTTCAATTGTGAGAATATCACGACTGTATAAGTTCGTATCTCTAAAAAACATATATGAAGCATTCAGTGAATAGAATAATATCAACACTAAATCTTCTTCATCATACTTAAACTCTAAGGTTTCCAAATCAGTAAGGATTTCCTTAAATACAGTTAGGTGATCGTCCAGTGATGTACCTTCTGTCATACGATGAGAATACAATTGCTGATTCAAGTACAATTTGCTGGTTAGAATTTTCGTCATGCATAACTACAATTTCAACCATAATACGTAATGTACCTTCTGTCATGCGATGAGAATACAATTGCTGATTCAAGTACAATTTGCTGGTTAGACTTTCGTCATGCATAACTACTCCTTCAAAATGTCTTAATGAATATTATTCGATAGATGAGGAGTATCTGTTATAGGGTCTTTCATTCCTTACATTGTCTCTCTTCCATACTCCAAGTTGATGGCATCTTGTCAAATTCCAACGACGCATCATCCAATTCCATTTGAGCGAGCACTGCTGGTGTACCTTTACTTGCCAAAGTGAAAATCTAGTTTTGCGATCCAATAGTCGAATATCATACTGCATAGTTACCATAAAAAAATTAAACCTCGAATTAAGTTGAAAACCTCACTCTAATACCACTTGTTAATAATTATGTACCGAACCGATACCACTTTTTAGTAAATAAAAGAACTAGAATAATACGGTAATATGAAAATGAAACAAGAATACAAGATTTACGTGGTAAAATTATACCATGGCCAAATAATAATAGAGGTTATTGTGTAGAATGTAAGCATTTATTTTTCTAGAGGTTTACTCCTCAGATATATAGTGCAAATAAGAGCCTAAGATGTGGTGGAGTTCAACTATAACAAGTCTATACAATAATGGAATTTTGGGATAAAATTGAATTCGAAAATCTACCAAAATAGAGAAATTCCAAACCGAATAAGACTGTCGCTTGAGCGGTGGGTTGGTGGATGTCGAGCGGTGGCCGGCTGCTTCAACGAAATCCTAATGGTTAGCGAGCGTTGGCGATCCTGTTCTAAGCGGTCAGTGGTATACTTAGCGCTTAGCAAGCGCCGATACGATGCTTCATTTTCCTTGCATGATTTATTCCTTTCCTAATGCAAATTGGACTCCTTAAATTCTTCTTCAAGTCCAACAAAAATCATCAACTCCCAATTAAACTCCCAAATTGAATTCCGACTAGAATTCGCATAGACTTCCTTTAAAATTACCAAGTCAACTTCAAATAGAATTCTCAAATAGAATTTAGGTCACACCTTAATTCTAACAAACCCAACCAAACTTAAGCAATAATAATAATAATAATAATAATAATAATAATAATAATAATAATAATAATAATAAATGTTGTGAAAGAAACCTTGGAATAAATACCCTGAATGAGAAATTGAACAAGTTTGAGGTTTTGCATCTCATGAGAGAGACTAAATAATTAACCATTCAGGGTAGGGATGTAACCAACGTAAAAGTTTGTGATTATTGAATTGATAATGTACACGCATATTGATTGAGCACTAGTTAAGTAAAAATTTATTTGATAGCATGACTTAGAAAACTTTTATGAATTATTCTATTAGTCTCAATACTTGAGGCAAATACAACAAGCTATCTAATCGTTGATTTTTATTTTCATTTGTTTACGTGTTAAATAGATAATCTTGCTAGTAAATAACAAGAGCTTAAGTATGAGGGTATTTGATAAGCATGATTTCATTGCTTTTGAAAATGAAAAATTGTGTGGATTTAGTAATATCTTTAGCATAATTATTTTAATTGTAGAAAAGAAGCGAACTTTGTAGCAAATTGGGGTGAAGAAATGCGATTTTGAGCTAAATGGAAGTTGAATTGCATATGATTAAAAGGAAATATTAAGAAATCAATTTGAGGTAAGTCACACGTTTTGAAAGTGAAATTCAACATTTCCAAAATTTATGGACTAAATTGCGAAATTTCTAAACTTGAGATAGGCCAATTCCAGATGGTTAATGATGATGAGGATTAAATTTGAAAGATTTGAATGATGAAGGACCTGATACAAAGAAGAACAGATTTGAGCTAAACTAAAGAAGACGGTAAGGGACAAACTTGATGACAAAGACATTGGATCAAATCTTGTAATCGCAAGGCTTCATGAGACAAAAATGATTTTCTTTCCTAGTTTAAATAAACTTCTACATGGAATAGGTAGCTTTACATTTTTCTACAAATGTCGTAATCGATTAGTTAGAGTTGTATCGTTTACCACCATAGCACCACTACCTTCCCAAGGATGTCAATTTAGCTCGTCAGCTCGGACTGCCGTGACTAGGCTAGGAAAAAGCCCAAATTGGCTCAACTCGTGGTTCGATGGGATCGAGCCGAGACTCAGGTCTAGCCTTATTTTTGGGCATCGCCCTGAGCCAGCCCATGTGGCTTGGCAAGCCACACGAACTGGCCCGTGAACATGGGCCAGTTATTGTGTACAAAAGCAGGCAAAAAGTACAGATATTATTTCTGTCCCATTATGCAAAGAGTCCTTATCATTGAGCATAATTGTGAATTCTAGTTCAGTTTTTTAATTAATTAGCATAATCTCCGAATCAATTAGCCTATTAGTGACTAAATAGTTATTAAATTAGCAGAGTACCACCACTAAATTTGTCCCATTATCCAAACACGTGCAGCTACAATGCTTCTATAAGTTTTTTAAAATATTGTTAAAAAATATTTCAAATTTCAATAGAGAAAAAAATCTAGCAGGCTCGGCTCGGTAAGCCCCGAGCTGAAAGCCTGAGCTGAGCCTTTTTGGGCCAAAAAAGCCGGAGACCTTACCCGAGCCCCAACATGCTGGCTCGGCTCATTTACACTCCTATAACTTCCTCCCTCCAAACTAGAAATCCTGACACCGCCACTGGCTATGAGAATTATATAAACTTTTCAAAATGTCAAATATCATTTTTGACAATAAGTTATATTTTCATGTCTACAAATTATGTACAATATTAACTAATTTTGTTATCATAATCTGTTATTCAACAATTTTGGACGTTACAAAATTTCCAATTAAGCTTATATCATCCTCATTTCTTTATGTACGAGTCTTTTCATTACTAGCAAATTAGATTTGACTTAATCAAAATATATTTTTCTTTGTCTCCACAAATTAATAAAATAGTTACTTGATGATTTCAAGCTTCTATATTTATTATTTAATTTATATACAATAAGCACTATGATACAAATGTTTAGTTCTTCATAGGTGTAAATTGAAAAAGATTTTAAATCAATGAAAATATATAACATAGTTCATTTCTTTCTGTCATTAATATGTATTTAATCAATACACTTATATTAAGAATCTAGAGGCTGACATAGTGGTAAACTTCCCATATTCTAGAGTAGAGGTCGTGATTTCAAAGCTTTTTGCCAACAGTATTTTGAACTCACCAAAACAAAATCACAAATGAAGTGATAATGGGTTTACATGAAACTGGCAGGTTTACCCGGTTCTTGACCGTCTTAGTTGCTATTTGGTCAACTACTCTATCCAGACTGGTTTAGGGCCAGGTTCCGTGATTTTCAGGCAGCAAAGTGGGATCAGTCCAACTTGAAAAACTATGCTTTACCCTAATGGAAGTTTTTGAATTGTACAATGGGAGAAAAGTAGAAGGATTGTCGTACTGGAAAGCCATCCTCATGTAGTCTCCAGCACAATAATGGAAGTGTCACTGCAACTTCTAAAAGATTGAGTCAAGACCTGGGGAAGTTGGTAATGCTATGGAGGAGAACAAGAGAAAAAGTGCTTATGGAGCAGCCACTGCCATGGCAAACCATTCTTTATTGGAAAACTATGGGGTAAAGGACGCGAGGATCCGGGTACAAAGGCTTTCAAGCAAACTTGGCAATGGAGGATAAGACTCCTGGTCTAGCTGAACTCCAACTCAGAACTGCAAAATCAACAATGATGACAGAGATAATATCAAAAATGTTCTTGTTCTATTTTAAGTATTGCGATGGATTTTGATAAGAAGCAGTGAATGGCAGCAAGGTCGAGTGCAGAATCAGAATTTAGAGTTACTGCATCTGGTGCCTGTGAATTGCTATGGATAAAATAATCCTCTCAGATGTTAGTGTGAATTGGGAGGACAAATGACACTATTGTTACAAAAAAATCTGCAATAAATACAGACCATATTCCTGTCCAATAGGACAACCAAACATAAAAGGCAACATTCGATAGTTAAATGTTGCTAAAAGGGTCTCTCGCAACATTCTAATACGTGAATGTTGCCATTGCTTAACAAAATTGAGCTTTGGCANGTTGCTATTGCTTAACAAAATTGAGCTTTAGCAACATTTTTTAAGTAAAGGTTGCTAATGTTGCCTTTTTGCAACGTTTTTTCAGTGTTACGAAATTTTTTATTTTTTGCAACGTTTTTTAAACATTGCGAAAGACAAAACTTTTTGCAACGTTTAAAAAAAAAACTTTTCACAACGTTTTTTAACCTGGCAAAAAATGGTACACCCCTTTATTTTGGAAATCAAACCCTAACATTTCCTGCCTAACTTTTCCTCCTCTCGTCTCCGCCTCTCCTCTCTTCTACCCCTGTCATCTCCACGATTACAGATTCTCGGTGTTCAAGGCTAATATGCACTGTGCCAAGCGCCACCAGCTGACGGACCCCTCCGCCATCCACGGTGTCACCAAGTTCTCCGACCTGACACCCTCTGAGTTCAGGAAATCGCACTGGGGCTCCACAACCTTCGTCTCAAGCTCCCCGTTGACGCTCACAAAGCCCCAGTTTTGTCTACCAACGTTTTGCCAACGGATTCTGACTGGCGCGACCATGGTGCCGTCATTGGCGTTAAAGATCAGGTTTTTAGTTCTCTTTCTTCACTGTAGTGTTCAATAGAAATGGAGTGCACGTTCTTTAGACGTTTGACTGAAAGGAAAGGATTAGCCTTATTTATTATTGCACTTAATGTTATTACCATACTTGGAGTTGGGGCAAATGTGGTTGAGTTTTCTGGGATAATTTGTTCAAATACGCCGAGAATTGGGTTACTCGTCGCACTAATTAAATTTAAGATCTTTTGCATTTTTTTGTTGAGGGGTTTTTGGAAATTGAATTTTTTGAACAATGCAGCCGGATCATCGAAAGAAAGTGAGTTTTTTTCTCAGTTTTGCGACTTCTCTGAAATTTATTATTCAGTTTTGAGTAGAATAGAAAAAAATTGAGCTGTTATTGATGCAATTTGTGTGACTTCGTAACTGTTTGATTAAAATTCAAAGGACGTGGAATATGTTATTCCTACAATCTACTTTCTGTGGGACTGTATTATCTAGTTTCTTAAGAATTAATTAATATTTTTGGTTAAATATTTAGAAGCAGCATAAATATTTCTTCTGAAAATCATAACAGTGAGTTCCCTTTTTCACAAGTTCAGGTTAGTACTAAAATTACAGACAATAATCTATGTTTATTCCCATTTCTCTCTGGCAACAGAAGTTTGTTAATTTGAAATATCATAAAAAAATATAAAGTACTGCCCAAATGATGATCCTAGCTTGTCATTTGAATCCACCCTTTAGAGAAATATTTTTCATTTATCTTATAGATTGAATTCTTGTCTTTACCATTCATCAATAGAGCAGTGTCAGTCTGTACATTTTACTATTCTCACTTAAAATTAAGGGCAGAATGATTGCTTCTATACTCAAGAGATGGATATCCATGCTGCAAAGAGTTGGACATTTTTATAGTTTTGTACATGAGCCATTAAATATACTTTGGTATGATTAATACTCATCTGGTGAGAAAGAGCTTTTATTTGTCACCATGATTTACTTTAGTAAGATTCTTTTCACCAACAATAATGCATTGTGATTTGTGTCTAAACTGTCAAAATTCTTTGACATGATGAAACCTATGAAGCCAATTATTAGGTCACTAACTAAAGTCTAAAGGAGTTAACAGGGGTGTGCACTTGCTGGTAAATTTTGGTTTGAAGGAAGGGAAAGCTCCTTGCTGGTCTTAACAGGGGTGTGCACTTGCTGTAAATTCCTGCAGAAGTTCATGAGGCCGAGGTGAGTGTGTTTAGCAAAAAAGAAGCATGTAATTATAATAATATTCTATACAACACTTGGTGAAGTGATTTTTCATCAATTTTGATTGCAGCTTCCTTTTATGATTCCACATGTTAAAGCATCTTCTCCTCCTATATCTTCTTCGATCCAGAAGTTACTTTCCAACTCATCAGACTTTTCTCTTCAAGGATTTCCCTTGTTTAATATGGACCCTCCACCTCAATCTACTTGGATAACTAGCAGCAGCGGTGGGGATGATACTACTGCAAAAATCGAAAGTATGATGGAGGTGGCAGGGGTGGAGCTGGGGCCTCATCCTCAAAGGAAGTGCTTCTGGGTATGGACATTCCATCTGCACACCACTACTATGCTGCAGGCTCCAAGCCATGGAGGTATATTGGTGAAGAAGAAAACATGGACAGGGAAGACAACAAGATGTTAGTCAACAAGTGAATTCTTCTGTTTTTGAGCTCATTATGAGTATGGTCAGAATCATTTCTGAATTTTGGCAGCATTATGTAATATTGAGTTAGCTAGCTTTCTCCAGTTGTATTACATTCTAATGTTCAAGTGTATTTATTCAGAAATTTGTAATGAAATTATCAATTTTTATGCAATTTCAAAATTTGTTCAGAAAGATTCATTTTCAATTTTGCTATTCAATTTACATAAATTGCTGTTATAAAAAAAAATGCAGCGTTTTTTAAATGTTGCAAAAAACCTTTTTGCAATGTTTTTAAACGCTGCATAGGTCTTTTGCAACGTTTAAAAAACACTGCATTTTTTGCAGCGTTTTTTAAACGTTGTCGTATCTCTTCCCTCTTTAGCAACACTGAACTTTGCAACACATGATAAAAAGTTGCAAAAGGCCTTTTGCAGCGTTTTTTGACCGCTGTAAAAAGCCTTTTTTGGCGTAGTGAATGGAAATACTAACCTATTGTTTCAGACGTTTGCCAAATAATTAAATGGGGTCCAATCACATTTTAATCCCATTAATCCATTACCAAATGTGCATTTTCTTGACATCATCGTAATATATTTGCATAGAAGAGGAAAGTAGAGATCAACGTAAGAAAACATTATTACTACGTTAGATTTCACAAGTATTTATCACTAGTTATTGACCAAAACTGCGTGGCAATAGATAAAATATTTACTCATTTAATTAAATTATAGTAGGGATAATTAAACATGTAACGATGTTATCAAATATTCTAGACAACGATAACTAAGCCATACCTTTTTCTTTGTGCAGCTCTTTGTAGTAAGAGATTGTTGAACTGACTGCCATGGAAGATCATATCCTTCCCTGGTTTTAGCAGAGAACTGGATCCCCCATCCCTTTTCTTCACAGCAGACATCCTCAGCTACTTTCTTTGTTGCATATAAATTGATGGGCTTGTTGATTTGATCACAATGGTGTAATGTTTTTGTTGAATTTGCATACTTTCATTTATTCCTCACATCAGATGTGTTCTTGTTCAACGGTGGTTTGGATGGTAGAAATTGACCAAATTCTCTCTGACCAGCAGCGGCTTCTTGAAGCTTTGCAACATTCTTTTAGAACCACACAAAACAAAGGAGCAATATTACTATCACAAATATAATAAACAATCACGTGGGAACCACCTTGTATAAAGGGTTAAGCACTAGAGTAGAAATATATTTGTTTATTTAAGTCAAGTCTTGAACATAGCCCCTCGCATGCACGATAAACTTATTTACATCAAAGTTCTTTCACGTGCAAAATTATTTCATAGTATAATTATTTGAACCATATCATCCAAAAGCTTAAAATTGTAAGAGATAGTTGGTCATGAATAGGTTGGATAATAACAATTGTTATAAACCGAAGTGCAGCAAGTAAAATTCCCATTTTCTGGAAACTATGAGCGATGCATCTAAAAAAATTTCTAAATTCTACTTGAAAGACGAATAGATTATAGGTAATTTTATTGCCACCACATTATTCTATAGTTGCACCCTTTTTTAATTGCATTAAAAGTCATCCATCTTTGTGTTGTAATTTGGGCCTTCAATTAACCAATAATCGAGCTCAGATAAACCACCAAGACAACACCACAACGAACCAAACCAATGCTCCTTAGCACAACTACCCAACAACCGGTTGCTCCAATGATTTCAGCCCACTTAGGGCTATGATGTGAAGATGAAGAACAACTATTTTTATCCACCATGGAACAAGGGAGAAGGGGAGAGAAAGAATCACCAAGAAGCACAAAGCACAAGCACGAAGCAAGTCGGTTTTCTCTCCTTTTTCTCAAGACAAAGCTGCTCTCTTTTTCTTCCACACACAATAAACAAGAACCGGGTCAATATTAATAAGGCAAGGTATTGGGCTTTTAGGTCAAACACAAAAGGGGCCCAATAGATAACTAAGTGGGCTTTCAACCTTAAAGCCGTCCAAGGTTATGGGCCGGGCCATGAGCAACACTAATGGAATTAGGCTACTTCAAATGACCCACTTAGGTTGTCCGAATAGTTCGTTCATTGTGGTGTCGACATTTCATTTCAATCATCGGCCGAGGCCTATGAAATCTAATCCAAACTATAAACCGGTTTAACATCATCGCTCGGATTTATTGGGTATCAAAAAACCCAACACTTTGTTCATTGTCAAACTCATGTCCCCAACAAATCTAAGGAGCCATATGATTGATTTTTAGCCATTCAATATAATTAGATAAATTGAAAATGATAATCAAGTCATACCTTATCAGTACAAGTCTTTTTTCGAATGAAATTTTTCATCAGGCAGCCATTAAAAATCATATCCCGCCTCTAATCTTAGCTTAGAATTGGGTCTCCTATCCCTTTCTTCACGTACGGAACATTCACACATCCTTGCTTGGTGACATCTAGACTCGTCTGCTGGTTGATGTGATCAATATGTAATATTTTTGATGAATTTCCATTAAAATTCTCTTCATTCCTCACATGGCCCTCATCCCTGTTCACAAGTGATTTTCACTGCCTCGATGGACCAGCTTCTCCAAGACCAGAAATAGTTGCTTGGAGCTCTGCAGCATCCTGGCAGAACCACACAAAACCAAAAAAAGACTGTTACTGTCACGTATATAAACCATCAGAATTGATAACAGGAATTCAACATAAATAAACATTTATGCCTTACCAATACTCTACTGTTCAATAAAGTAGCATTAACAAAATCCATAATGATGTAGATGTCCAAACATGAGATAATATAGAAACTACTGTTCCCACATCTTGATTCATATCTAGAAATAAAATTGGGGTGTAGAATTAGAAATCAGGAATTGGATAAACAATTTGAACGGTTTTTGAGTAAGCATCATCACGTAGCCTAAATTGTAATATAGGTACTTTCATCACCAAGTGTGAGTTCAAATCCACATCAAAATTTAACATAAGAGTTGCTAAACTAGAAGTAAAAATGAAAATATGTAGACAAGTTTTGCCAAAGCAATAATAAGATAGAAACACAAGGACAAACCGAGATATAACGTCAATATATGTATCATGAGACTAAATAAATGTAAATAAATTATTACTGACACCACATGAGCAAAATTTAAAAGAAAACTTGAGGAAATTCAACAGAGCTCGAGAGCTTCAACAACATTTGAACAGCTGCTACTTATTCATCAATGAGAGAGTAAGCTTCGAGAAAACAAGACACTTTTTACAATCTTCTAGCCTTAACAAGCATGAAAACAATTTATCAGACATGAAGACGTACTAGCATAAATATATATGACCTAATTGGGATAGTTTAGCATGACAGGCTGGAAGTTCAACAATGACATTTGCAGTTTGGAATGGTAAACCTTTACTAGCAAATTGGTTTAACTTTAGTTAGACAAGGAAATAATAATGTTCCAAAGAAAGAAATCTATAGAACTCAAAGAATATGGCCTAAACACATTACCCTATCTGCAAGACACAGTGATAGAAAGTTTTCATTTTTTTCACTTCGAAAGTAGGATCCCTTGATAATTGATATTAAAAAAAGTAATTTGTTATCTGTCAAGTAATTTTTCCTACTGAAATACAATCATCTTCTCCACTGGATATCAGGGTCATCTTTGTAGATGCTCCCAAAAATCTGCCTTCTTATGAACCCCTTTTAAGCAAGAATGACTGATACGTTCTCCTACATTACTTGTTGACCCCATGGTTCCACTTGATGGGCAAATATTTCAAAGATTTTTTGAAATACTGTTGATTACATACCATATCAGATTAGATACAATCAAGGATCACTGCAATCATTCCTTATTTTTGGTTTCATTTAATTGAGATTTGTATAGCAAAGTGATAATTGAATTATAGTTTTTCCTTGTAGAGAACTTTACAATATCTTGTATCAATCTCTGAACAATTATTCAAATAGAGAATCCTATATCTCTTAAAACCTAATTTCTTTTGTTTTATTAATTCTTTTCGACGTTTGCAGTCATGGAGAAAGCAGTTATAAATGATTAGTACACTAGAGTTTTTTTTTCCTTGCATCCTCAAGATAAACCACAAAGTTCTTATGTCTTCTCCACTAAATGGAGAGAAACTACACAATACGGAGCAAAGCTGTGATGAAAGCTCAAGTACGATGAACAAATACGGATTTGTCAATGACCATTTCCAAACCTTCGCTCGAGAAATCCTAAATTTTGCATTCTGAAAGCAATGTGATGATATGGTGACTTCCTGGATCATAAATCTTATTATCCCATAGCTTGCAGGAATTGCTATCTCCACAAAAACAACTAGTGTGGTTAGAATCTTGAAGAAAGATTATTGCAATTTAGAGGTCTGAGAATCTTCAAACTCCAACAATGGTTATGTTCGTGTAGCTCCGCAAGTGTACGGATCGTAACAAGTAATAAAGTGAATTTATTAAGTCCAAGTATCTGTAGATTTTCCTACAGAGACTATCTACTATCAATTTTTAAGCTAACCTTGCTTCAATTCAAGTAAAACGGTAATCAATTTGTTAAAGGGTATTTAGGTCTTTTATGTAATACCTAGGGTCTCCTAAGGTTTTCCTAACTCTTATTATAAATAGTGGGACAGGCTAACGTAATTGTTAAGCCTTCTAATTCTTTTACTTTAACAGA